TACTGTAATAGCCGTAAAAGAGGAAATTTGGAATTTTTTATGGGATTGATTCTTTCCCATGTTCTTCCTACAGTCCCTCTCTCCCAATAAACTCCTTTTTATACATAGGGATTTGGTTTCAGTAGTTTATTAACAAAATCTGTCATTTAAACTTTTACTACATATACAAACTGCATGGAACACAGCTCAGCCATGTATTTCAGCACTGGCACAAGATTAAGCTCTATAATTCTGTGGTTTGTTCAGGAAACTTAAAGCATCTTCCTTGCAAAGTAAATATGAGAAAGCAGTGTGACATGGCTGTGAAAAAAGACAAAAGCTATTTTAAGCTGCACCAACAGAAGCACTATATAATTCCCCTTTATTCTAGTTTGTTGAGATTCCACCTCAAGTCATATGTCCAGTTCTGGGCACCATACTTTAAGAAAGATTCAAAGAAATTTGAACAGGTTCACCAAAGGGTAACAAGGGTGGTGAGAGTGACAGAGCCTTGAGAAAAGGTTACTGAAGGGGGATATGATATCACTCTTTAAATGCCTGAAATGATATTATTTAAAAGATCAAGATTAGATTTCCCTTGTTCCAAAGTGCAGGATACAAATTAATGAATTAAGTTAGAGGAAGGCAAATTCTAACTGAATCTTAGAAAAAGTTTCCTATGGCAAAAGTAATTCAGCAATGGAACTAGCTACCCAGGGACATGGTGGGCTCCCCTTCACTGGATATTCAAAGCTCGGATATTCAGTGCTAAACAACCAACTCTCCAGGATGCTTTAATTTACATTCCTACACTAAGCAAAGATTGACCTAAATGGCTCCTTCCAACTCTATATTGTTATGCCTACTTGGCTCTCAAAACAGTTCCAATACAGTCATAGCAGTATCTGACTGCAGACCTCTTCAATTAGCATTTATAATCAATTTTTTTAAAGTTCCTCAAGTTCCTTATCAGTGAAGAAAGACTAGAAGTCAAGGACTGAAAAGAGATGACAAAGACACATTCTTCAAAACTACAGACTGCAAAAGATTAAACATGCTAACTGGCAATATCAGAGTGAAAAATTCTCCCAGGAAGTTCCATTTTCATCCTTTTGAAATTATTTTATTTGACCATTGATTCTCAATATTTATTTATTTACTGGAAATTCCAGGATCTTGGACTACAGAAAGACATAGAGAGAAAGAGAAGGGGAGAGAGAGAGAGAGGATGACGTTTGTGCTTCTACATTTTCATCAAAGAAATAGAACTTTACTAAGATTGTCTTCTAGCAATTTACTGTAATAGTCTGAGCAACTAGGCAGAATTGGAAAAACTGGTACAACCTGCAAAACGACTTCTCACTCAATATATCCATTACATGTACAGATCCAAGGTATTTTTAAACTTGAGAAAACCAGGGGCTGAATGAGCCCATTCCCATTCCCATATACATATTTTCACATGCATGCACACACAAACTTCTCATTGCATCTTATGCCAATGTAATTTTTTCCCCATTGTCTTTTCTCCTTTAATGTCCATGGAGAAACTTGAAATACTGGAAGAGCTCAACAGATTGTATTTCACTGATCAATGTTCTAAATCTAGTTCAACTTTTATTATGACCTTTAGCCAACAAATACTAATCAACGTTACTGTAATGAATGAAAAATATCACTCCATATGATCATTTCAAATACTTGTATGGGCCTAGGGTGATTGTCCCCACTGCCTACTCCTCTCCACTCCACTCCAAAAAAGGCCCTAAACAGAATCCAGAAGAAACTCTGCACCTCTTTCAGATATGAAGAATCCAGGCAGCCTTTAACCACATGGCAGAAATAAAACCAGGTATGTGAGGCTTCCCTCAAAGTTTTTTGCAACACTGTATTATAAACATGGTTGCTCAATTAGGCTGGGCAGAGTATCTGAGGAATAAGGAACTACTGTGCAGACAGAGTAACACTGGTGCTTTTTTATTCAGAGAAAAACAGCCATCAATTCACTCATGCTGTGCTGGGCAACATAACCAAGAAAAAATATTTCAGAAGAGCTGCCTTTTCAGAGATCTGAACAAAATTCCTCTTTTTTAAGATGAGACGTCAAGTGAGTTTCCTTCAGGATTGAGATGCACTGATTGAGTGTGTCTGATCTTTGGAGGACATACGGTACTCATGCACAGTTGCAGTCCCACAAGAGACAATGGAAGAACTGCAGGGTTAAGAAATAGCGGGACAGACTTAAGGGAAGGCCGCACACAACACAGTCTCCACTCTCTCTCCACTCCTTTTCTCAGCCCCATACATACATCAGCAACAACTCCTTTTACTACCAGTTTTGTAAAAATAAATAAAATAAAATACAGTAAATTCCCATGCAGTCTCTGAGGCTTTCTAGAAAACAACAATTTTTTTCTGTCCACCTTTTTTTCTTATCATGTATATAAATTATGGAATTGTGTGCCATGTGTAAGCCAACAAGATGCTTGAATTAGGCATAGGGACTGTGAATTGGTAGACTTTCTACCACTTCCAAAGTCCTTTCTGGCTTGGTTGGGGAGGCAGGGTTTTTTTCCTTAATTTCTACAGTTTTCTTAAAACAAAAAACACCCACTCACTTCCAAAAGTGTCTCTATTTGTTGTTGTTTAGTCGTTAAGTCGTGTCCGACTCTTCGTGACCCCATGAACCATATTGCGCCAGGCCTTCCTGTCCTTCACTGCC